GTACACTAAGTTGACTTTGCCTTTAAACAGTTTGGAAAATTCCAGAAAATGATGTCATGGCTTTAGAAGCTTCTGATAGGCTAATTGACATAATTTGAGTCAATTGGAGTTGTACCTGTGGATGTATTTCAAGGCCTACCTTCAAACTCAGTGCCTCTTTGCTTGACATCATGGGAAAATCAAAAGAAATCAGCCAAGACCTCAGACAAAAAATTGTAGACCTCCACAAGTCTGGTTCATCCTTGGGAGCAATTTCCAAACGCCTGAAGGTACCACGTTTATCTGTACAAACAATAGTATGTAAGTATAAACACCATTGGACCACGCAGCCGTCATACCGCTCAGGAAGGAGACGCGTTCTGTCTCCTAGAGATTAACGTACTTTGGTGCGAAAAGTGCAAATCAATCCCAGAACAACCGCAAAGGACCTTGTGAAGATGCTGGAGGAAACAGATACAAATGTATCTATATCCACAGTAAAACGAGTCCTATATCGACATAACCTGAAAGGCCGCTCAGCAAGGAAGAAGCCGCTGGTCCAAAACCGCCATTAAAAAGCCAGACTACTCTTTGCAACTGCACATGGGGACAAAGATCGTACTTTTTGGAGAAATGTCCTCAGGTCTGATGAAACAAAAATATAACTGTTTGGCCATAATGACCATTGTTATGTTTGGAGGAAAAAGGGGGCTCGCTTGCAAGCCGAAGAACACTATCCTAACCGTGAAGCACAGGGGTGGCAGCATCATGCTGTGGGGGTGTTTTGCTGCAGGAGGGACTGGTACACTTCACAAAATAGATGGCATCATGAGGAAGGAAAATTATGTGGATATATTGAAGCAACATCTCAAGACATCAGTCAGGAAGTTAAAGCTTGGTCGCAGATGGGTCTTCCAAATGGACAATGACCCCAAGCATACTTCCAAAGTTGTGGCAAAGTGGCTTAAGGACAACAAAGTCAAGGTATTGGTGTGGCCATCACAAAGCCCTGACCTCAATCCTATAAAAAAGTTGTGGGCAGAACTGAAAAAGTGTGTGCGAGCAAGGAGGCCTACATACCTGACTCAGTTACACCAGCTCTGTCAGGAGGAATGGGCCAAAATTCACCCAACTCATTGTGGGAAGCTTGTGGAAGGCTACCCGAAACGTTTGACCCAAGTTAAACAATTTAAAGGCAATGCTACAAAATACTACATGAGTGAATGTAAACTTCTGACCCACTGGGAATGTGATGAAATAAATAAAAGCTGAAATAAATCACTCTCTACTATTATTCTGACATTCCTAACTGACCTAAGACAGGGACATTTTACTAGGATTAAATGTCAGGAATTGTGGAAAACTGAGTTTAAATGTATTTGGCTAAGGTGTATGTAAACTTCTGACTTCAACTGTATGGGTAGCCCATAGTGCCTATAGAAAGTCTACACCCCCTTGAACTTTTTTCACATTTGGTTGCGTTACAAAGTGGGATTTAAATAGATTGAATTGTTTCGTTTTTTTTCATTGATCTACACAAAATACTCCATAATGTCAAAGTGTTTTGAAAATTCTACAAATGTTTACAAATTAACACAAATTAAATAACAAAAATAAAGTTGTTGCATAAGTATTCACCCCCTTGGTTTAGGCAAGCATAAATTAGTTCAGAAGTAAAACTTGGCTTAACAAATCACATAATAAAGTAATTCTGTGTGAAATAATCACGGTTTACATGACTTTCTAAATGACTACCCCTTCCTCTGTCCCCCATATATACAACATCTGTAAGGTCCCTCAGTCAAGTATTGAATTTCAAGCACAGATTCAACTACAAAGACAGGAAGCTTTTCAAAAGGCTCATAAAGAAGAGCAGGGATTTGTAGATGGGTAACAATAACAAATCAGACATTGAATATCTTTAAGCATGGTCAAGTTCATAATTATCCTGTGGATTATGTATTAAACCACCAAGACACGTCAAAGATGCAGTCGTCCTGCAATTGTTCTTGAGCTGCAAGACAGGAAGGAAACTGCTTAGGGATGTCACCATGAGGCCATTGGTGATTTTAAAACAGCTACAGAGTTAAATGGCTGTGATGGGAGAAAACTGAGGGTGGATCAACAACATTGAAGTGACTCCACAATAATGACCTAAATGACAGAGTGAAAATAAGTATACATAATCAAAATATTCCAAAACATGCATATGTATGCAACAAGGCACTAAAGTAATACTTAACAAAAATAAAAATAAACTTATTTGCAAGGATGATGGTGGCTGCATCATGGTATGGATGTACTTGACATCAGCAAAAAGACTGGGTGGGGAGTTTTTCAGGATGAAATGAAACGGGTTGGAGCTAAACACAGACAAAATGCTAGAGGAAAACCTGCTTCAGTCGGCTTTACACCAGACACTGGGAGAGGATTTCACCTTTCAGCAGGACAATAACCTACAACACAAAGCCAAATCTACACTGGAGTTGCATAACAAGAAGACAGTGAATGTTCCTGAGTGGCCGAGTTACAGTTTTGACTTAAATCTGCTTGAAAATCTATGGCAAGACTTTAAAATTGCTGTCTTTCCATGATCACCAACACTGACAGAGCTTGAAGAATTTTGAAAATAATAAAAGGGCAAATATTGCACAATACAGGTGTGTAAAGCTCTTATGAGACTTATCCAAGAAGACTCACAGCTGTAATCGCTACCAAAGGTGTTTCTAACATGTATTGACTCAGGGGGGTGAATACGTATCTAATCAAGGTATATTGGTATTTTATTTTGAATTAATCTTTAAAGAAAAATATCATTTTTATTTTACATTACAGAATATTTTGTGTAGATCGTTGACAAAAAAATACAATTAAATCCATTTTAGTCCCACTTTGTAACGCAATAAAATGTGAAGAAATCCAAGGGGGGTGTAGACTATCTATAGGCACTGTATCTGATTCGGTTTGGCCAAAAATATTATCATTTTACATTTTTGTCATTTAGCAGACGCTCTTATCCAGAGCGACTTACAGGAGCAATTAGGGTTACGTGCCTTGCTCAAGGGCACATCGACAGATTTTTCACCTAGTCGGCTCGGGGATTAGAACCAGCGACCTTTCGGTTACTGGCACAATGCTCTTAACCACTAAGCTACCTGGCATGTCAAACTCTTTTTGGCCAGACAGCTCGCTCGGATGCTTTATGCGGTGAGATAGTTTCAGCCACATTTGCGAATTGAAGGATGTTGAAGGATGCTGAAATTATTTTTGAATGATCGTGCGAAGGTACTCCGACATTGCTCGTCCAAATATTTATATATTTCTTTTATTTTTAGATTTGTGTGTATTGTTGTGTATCGTTAGATATTACTGCACTGTTGGAGCTAGGAACACAAGCATTTCACTACACCCGCAATAACATTGGTTGTATGCGACCAATAACATTTTATTCGATTTGAGGTAACCTACTTCTTGAAGTGAATTGTTTGACAGTCAGATGAAAACCTCATGACTGGTTCATATTTATGTTCATGACACATTAAAATGTAAATGTTTACAGTTCAATTACATATTTACTATAAATCCCATTATTTCTTTTTTAGGGGGGGGGGGCTCAGACTGGCCTCTGCCTGACGCCGCCAAATCACTAAGTCTGCTCCTGTGTGTAAGACTTACTGACTGCATGGGTTAGACTCTTACTGTGTGAGAGGCTGTGCTTGGCCACTCACTGGCAGTGAGGATGTAGTGACATAGGCAGAACTTCATTCATGTCAGCTCTAATAAGGATGGCACTGCATTTAGAGAGGATAAAAAACATCATTAGCATCTGTCACTAGCAGCATTATTTAGTCACTGAATAAGGAGCATCTCACTGTCTTCTTGTGCTCCAGATGTTCAGGATTGGCTTTAGTACATGTACTGCACGGTACGGCTGGCTGCTAGTGCTGTTGTTGGAACTGCCCAGAGCTTCAGCTTCTATCTCTGAAGTGGCTGTTTTTTGGGGGCTGTGAAAGGAGGCTACCTACTGTATCCTTCGCCACCTTTATGGAGTGCCTTTCCGCCAGGCCAGAAGCTGACGCAGAACTTCCGCTGTAAATACACTTTCGTGTAGCTAACACAGGTCAGCTATCGCTTTTCCCATAAACCAAATAACAATGAACTCAGCTACATACACTGGGCGTACAAAACATTTAACAACACATTCCTAATAGTGAGTTGCACCCCCTTTTGCCCTCAAAACATCCTCAATTCATCGGGGCATGGACTCTACAAGGTGTCGAAAGCATTCCACAGGGATGCTGGCCCATGTTGACTCCAATGCTTCCCACAGTTGTCTCAAGTTGGCTGGATGTCCTTTGAGTGGTGGACCATTCTTGATACACATGGGAAACTGTGAAAAACCAAGCAGCGTTGCACAAACCGGTGTGCCTGGCACCTACTACCATACCCCGTTCAAAGGCACTTAAATCTTTGTCTTGCCCATTCACCCTCAATTGTCTCAAGGCTTAAAAATCCTTCTTTAACCTGTCTCCTCCCCTTCATCTACACTGAAGTGGATCTAACAAGTGGCATCAATAAGGGATCATAGCTTTATAATAATAATAAATAATCCATAGCTTTCACATGGATTCACATGGTCAGTCTGAGTCATGGAAAGAGCAGGTGTTCATAATGTTTTGTACACTCAGTGTACATCTCATAACAGACTAAAATATTCACAACTAAAAAAACATGAATCAATTATGAAAAATGTCTGACCATGGCACAGAAGAAATATCAGTCTTTGCTAAGAAATTGTAAACTGAACAGTGTGATATTTTCATTTAGATTTCATTTTAATAAAAATTAATTACACAATAAAATATCCAGTGATACCATTTAAAAGACAACGATCTAAAAAAATTAAGTTAATTAACATTTTTTCAAAACAGAAATGAATTAGTTATTGTCAATAGGAGTGAGGTGAATTAAGACTGGCTCAATGTGTGATTGTGATGTTTGGACTGTATGGACCGTATTGTCAGTCCATGAACGCCCGCTAACCTCTACCACCTAGGCATGTGTGTAGATCTGAAGAAAACATTTATAGGTATTAGCAGTGCAGTGAAAATTCCTTTCAGATTTTGATGACGTTTCTAGGAGATAAGGGATATGGTCTGTTTCTGGACCTTGTGTATGTGTGTCAGGAGTGAGGGTGTAAGTACAGGATAGCCCCCGAATCCTCTAGTTTTTTTAAGGTTTCTGCTTCGTGAGTAAGGTCATGGTAGGAATCCTGGAACAGAACGAAAGCAGAGTCTAAACATAACATCACTTATTTTGCCTAGATAAAATAGAAAACAACATACACAAGTGCACTTAAAAAGCTACTACCATGGAGTATAACACTTAAGCGTGTTCATCCCTGACATGGGAGTTGAGTAAAATCCCATGCACACTCACCTTCATGGATTTCATAGTGTCATATCCGTAGTAGTGTATAGGATGCTTCTGGCTTTTGGATGCTGGATATCCAAACCCAGCTACGTGGACCACGTCACAGTAGTTGAGTGCCACGAACACGGCTAGGATCCCTGTGGTGGGGTGTACTGGTTTCTGTAGGAGTGAGAACCAAAACCAATGACACCTATAGCATGGTAACAGACATGTATCATGTTTCAGACACCAGGGGGTAGCAGAGACCTGTAAAAACTCATGAGTCCCCTAGTCCTGCACTTTTAGTACATTAGTTGGGGTCACTGGTATGTTACAGAGCAGTGTGCCCTTTTCTTAATGTATACTGGGACAAAGTGAGATGGTATTAAGACTTTCTGGACTTTTTGTCTCCAGTACAATGCAAGGGGTGTCCCTGGTTTGATTCCACTCTTGCTGACTGTTAATGATTACTAATGTTCACAGGAGCAGCAGAGGGGAATTGTTTCCACAGAGCTGTGAGGGGGAATAAAATCCCCTTTTCCAAATGTTGCACTCTGTTTCACTTTCCAATAGCCTTTCCTTATCTGTCCTTTAGGGGAGAGTGGTGTAAGTTGAGCCAATTTATACATTCAGCATCACTCCCATCAAGGGAAATATAGTATTCTTTCTAACAAAGATATCTACATATATTTAATATGTTGTGTATCCCTGGAAATAATCAGAATTCATGTAAACGTTACAGTTTAGAAAAAAAATGGGACAGGGTAAGTTAAGCCACCTACACAGTTCTGTACTGAATGAAATATTACCACAATCTTTTAAAAACCATGTCTGTCTTTATTTCCCAAACAATATTCAACACGATCACAATCGCTTTTTGTCTTTTAATCATTTTAAGCATCTTTTAACACAGGCTTAACACCTAACAAACACTTTGTACTTTTTAAAACACTTTAAACATAGGCCAGACCCTGTTGTTACCTAATATCCCAGCAATAATGACTTGCATTACACCTGGGAAGAAAACACTTCAATTCGCTCAACTTGCTATTAGCTCAACCATTTGCTCAATTTACCCCAAGGCAAATATTGTGACTATATTAGCCCACACAGCTACAAGGACACACTTTCATGTTAGGTTTAGGACCTCATATTGAAGCGTATAGAGACCCCAACTCATGTATAGAACAATCTTAAAAGTATCTACTTTTAAGTGCATCGTGAAAATCTGTTTTTTTTTTTACCTAACTTGCTTGCCACTTTTAGCATGTGGTTTCTTCCTTCACAGACCTCTTCCTAAATATTTGGTCAAATTATTAATTGTGTATTGTTTCCTAGAAACAAGGGTGGCTCAACTTACCCCTTTGGCTCAACTTACCCCGCTCTCCCCTAGCTGTTCCTTGTAATCATTACCCTTGCTTTACTCAACTACCCACCATTTCCAAGGAAGCTTCTTGTTAAGGCACATTATTCCACCCTACTGCTTTCCCAATTCCTTCCAAAATACCCCTTCTGAGGTGCTGGGACTGCAGTAGAAATCAGCCAAATAAAATTAAATTAAAACAACAATACATAAAACCAATTTTCAAGGTAAATGTCTGAGTGAGGCACTTTTTAAACGACATCAATATTGTGACACAGGAATAAAACTGCAATTCTGCTCCTCTTATCAGTACCATGCTTTCAATCTCTGTCCCCTGGCCGGGGCGAGACAGTTTCCTGCGTGGGAAAAGGTTGCGTCTGTCGGTCTGTCTGTCTATGTGTGAGCCTGGCCCGCAAGGCTTTACGAGCATGCTGTCTGTCTTGGACATCCATCCCCGGGCCCTAAGGAGAAAGAAACTGGACCAGACCAGCCAAGTTCTCAAACCCCTGCTTCTCCTCTCTTCATCACACCGTACGGGACATTCCTCCAAACCAGGTTCTTAATGCATTTAGCATAAGGGCCTTTTTTCCTCAGCCTGGCTGGGCTAAATCTGATGTTCTGTGTGCATTAGCCTCATGTGGTCGGTCACCGAGCGCTCCAACTTCTGTAGTGCCTCGCATAGTTTGGACGTGGGCCCATGTAGCCTTGGTGAGAGGGGGGAGGGGGTGAATATTGTCACTGCTGTTCGCCAGCCAGACCAGAGTGGTGGCAGTGGGATCTTTGTGGGACCTTTGTTTTGGAAGTGGGTGGGGGAGGCGTTGGGGACTGTCTGACTGGCAGGGGCATTAGTTAGCCCTCTAGCCCTCCTCAGCTCAGTAAGCCTCTGTATTGTAACCAGGGGGACTGCCTGCTGCTGCCTTCTCACAGGGCATATGGATGACTGCCAACATGGCACCCACGGGGAGGGGTGAGAGAGAGGCATGGGGGCTGTGGGGCTGCGGTCAGGCCCTCTCAGTCTCCCACTGGCAGCTGGCTGACGGGGCGCACCCAGAGAGAGGAGAAATGGGCCAGGGCCGAGTGCTCGGAGTGGTTCCTGTTCCTGTTCTCGCTCAGAGTAAACAACCTACCCCCTCCAGCCAGGAGCCAGCCAGCCAGGGTCGAACTCATCTGGCCTATAGGGCCACGCAGATGGAGGAGGAGGGCTACTGTTGGGCTGCCCCGCTTATCGCCTGCAGGACCCCTGCTTTACCACTGTTCCCTTGGCTCAATGTTGTGTTTCAGCAGTCCAAAGGGTGCACAGCCTCAGTCTCTGACTCAGGGGCTCGCTGGGGGAACAAACTAAACCTGGCTTTGTTCCATCTCAAAGACATCTCCACCATGCACTGAACAAGCTCTCTTGGCCAATGAAAACATAATTACACATTAGTTATATTTCAAATCAATGTATCATGTATTTCAAAACCCAGAATTCCTCAGCCAAACAGACAATTGTGATCCAATTTGTGAACAGAAAACAGCTCAATGGCTTACTATTAAAATGTAATCTGTCACAATATTCTATTCCACAATCATTTTTCTTGATTCCATTAGTTCTGTTGTTCCATTCTGCATATGTTCCACTGTTCTTTTGTGGAATTCCCTGCATTATCTGTTTTTCTTGCTCTTCCATTTCTGGGTAATCAGTAGAGCGTTTGGAACTGACCTTCTCCTTTACAAACTGCAGCTGGTAGAAATGTATACAGACAGCACATAATACTGGCCCCTGTTCAACAACCAATTATTTTTTAAGGATGTACTGAGAGGCCTAAAAAACATCAAGGACTTATCCTGTAATGAGTTTGATGAAATGTCAAGATTGTGCAGTTATGTGGTACACAACACCTCTCTTGACCTCCCAAGTCAAAAAGCCTGTTAGCTAAATAATTTACAGCCAAATTATATTAACTTTTAAGTGCTGTCGCTAATCAAATATTGCACCTTTTTGAGTACAGCAGTCTTATTCAAGATTTTTGATAGAACTATTAAAATGTAATCTGTCACAATATTCTATTCCACAATCATTTTTCTTGATTCCATTAGTTCTGTTGTTCCATTCACGCAGATGGAGGAGGAGGGCTACCTGCCTGTGCCATTAAACCCCTACAACTCATCCAGAATGACGCAGCCCGTCTGGTGTTCAACCTTCCCAAGTTCTCTCACGTCACCCCGCTCCTCCGCATACTCCACTGGCTTCCAGTTGAAGCTCGCATCTGTAACAAGACCATGGTGCTTGCCTACGGAGCTGTGAGGGGAACGGCACCTCCGTACCTTCAGGCTCTGATCAGTCCCTACACCCAAACGAGGGCATTGCGTTCATGCACCTCTGGCCTGCTGGCTCCCCTACCTCTGCGGAAGCATAGTTCCCGCTCAGCCCAGTCAAAACTGTTCGCTGCTCTGGCACCCCAATGGTAGAACAAGCTCCCTCACGACGCCAGGACAGCGGAGTCACTCACCACCTTCCGGAGACATTTGAAACCCCACCTCTTTAAGGAATACCTGGGATAGGATAAAGTAATCCTTCTACCCCCCCAAAAAAAAAAAAAAAAAAAAAAAAACAACATTGTAAAGTGGTTATCCCACTGGCTATAAGGTGAATGCACCTATTTGTAAGTCGCTCTGGATAAGAGTGTCTGCTAAATGACGTAAATGTAAATGTAGCTGAAGTCCACTTCACATGGATTTTTTTTCTGCCCATATCCTGGTTCCCAAAGTGGCTAGGAGTAAACGGAGTTGGTCCCTTACCTGTTTGCTCTTTGGGTGAAGGGGGATTTGTAGCAGACTGCTGGCTGTCCTATGCAGGAAGTGAGGGTCCAGCACCCGGATGCGACTGGTCCTGCCTAGCCAGATCTGTGGAGGGGGCTTCCAGAAACCTTTCCTCACCTGACACACAGGGAGGAAAAGGTGTGTTGATTAGTGAGTGCACACACAGAGCCCGTGTCTACACAATTGAGGCCCTGTTTTAGTCTCGTTCTACTCAGGGCAACCTAATCGATGCGTAAATGAGGGGGTAATGACCCTGCTCCTAATCGTGCTAACAGCAACCGTAGCAGCCTGAGCTAAACCAGAGAGTGGGGGTGTTGGGGCTGCTGAGACTACAGTTTATTTTCAAGTAGGTTTGGCAAGGCTGCCATTGATAGTGTATATTTTGTCACTGCGCGGATGGATTGCAAGTACCAGGGAAGCAGCTAAAATGGAGGTGTGTGTGTGCACACATCCAGTACCCTCTTCTCGTCGTACAGGATCTCTTTGAGCCAGCGGAGGTCCTGCTGTTTGAAAGGCACTAGGACCATGAGGGTGCCGGGGTCGTTGTGCATGCTGGGGTTGTAGGAGGCCGACTCTGGGTAGAAGAGACGCATAGTGGTCTTGTTCCCCACGTCGTCCTCATAACCTCTGACGGGGGCATCATTCAGCCTGCACAGGGATACAGAGAAAGAGAAACCTTAGCCATTCACTTCTATAAAAATAGTCATTAAAACAGAGTTTAAAAAACAGCACACGGCTACTGTAGTGTAAATAGCAACATTCCAACCACAAATGGTTTTCTTAGTGAGGCTTCCTATTTATCCTCTTTCCCAATGACGTTACTTTTACCTTGCACTGTGTAAGTTTGTTGGATTGTGTGTACTACAGTACTACATTTGAATAAAAAAAGCAATTAAAAAAAACACGTAGGTTTGCCATGTAACAGTGCTACTCTGGACAAAAATAACATGGAGGTGTTGCTAAGTTAATTCTACCGTTGCCACCTTAACAGTCACAGTTCAAATTGCGTTGCGTGCCAGGGCATGTCAGTCACACCATGGCTGGTGAAATTGACTACAGTTCAAGTGACCTTCATTTTCTGTGTTAACATGATAAGTTTACAGCTGTTCTACCCTCCCTCTTATGTAACAGAATTCACTCCACTATTTCACCACCATGTATCAAAACAAGAACGGGGGTAGGAGAACGCTTGGTAGGAGAGCAGAGCACCAAATGTCAATGAACTCGATTTCCTCGGCCTGTGAGATTAGTTTATGAGAATGGGAGATGTGAGAGGTGAGCAGAACAGAGCAGAACAGAGCAGAGCGCATTGTGCCTGGAAATGACCTAACGGTGGATATGACTTAACCCTAACCCTCCATATGACCAGGCAAAATTGCCTGGGCTGTTAGTAAGAGGCTTATAAAAACCTCAAAATACATGTGTTCATTCCAAGGCTATAAATTAGATTTGGAGAGGGCGCTGGGATGTTTTTCTGCAGGGCAGACCAAATCCCCCTTTTAAGAGACTGAGTTAACCCAACAGTTGACTGATTACAAAGAAAAAGGCATTTAAGCAAGGTCACCAGTCTGAGCTGGCCATTATGGTACAGCCCATTGACTGCATTATGCTTTCACGGGCAAAAATAATTAGACTATCCCTCTTTTGAGGACAATGCATGATAGAAAATATGTTTTTTACTGGATTACGGGAATTGCTATGGAAAAGGGCATTGGGGGACTGGCTAAATGCTATTGCAGCTACATACTGTACTCTGAGCCATCTTTAGATATCTAATTATATGGCTCGACTGTACTGTCCGCAATATAATGCACTCTATGTACTGATATTGATTAGGAATACCACTAATTGTACAGGAACATCATTGGGTCAATAAGGAAATAGTCCATCATCAAACATAGTGCATCAGATAGATCTGAGAAATGAAAACAGAAGTGGTGAGTTGTAGCAACAGTTCAACAGAAGAGGAGGGAGGATGGACTTAATGAAGATTGTGTGGTAGAAAACAGGATGGAACCATTAGGCTTTATACTTACCGGATCACCACATCGTACTCGTTGATGACGCCCCCCAAGGAGCTGTTTTTAATGGCAAACCCATTTCCTATGACTGCACACGTTCTGCAGTCTAGACTGAGGACATAAAACAAAATAAATGAAGTTCAGTATAATTCACTGCTTCCTATTATTACAATCCATTTACTTTAGTGTTGCTTTTTTCATCCTTTTAAAGTTCAAGGCCACTTTCAGAGGGATGACTAACTGCACACTACAGTTGAACCACTGGACATTCTCCAACACTGCCATTGTAATAGCGACTGGTCACACTGCTTGGTTTGACATTTGGCATTCTTGCTTGAAATGAAGTTAATGAAGTAAGGCAGATTCCTTGTGGCACATTTGTCCACCCATTATACACACACACACACCACAGGGACGATTTGAGTCATTATGTTAGCACAGCATTTACACTACAATACATTTAGGAGAGTACCCTTAAAAAAATACCCTTGTGTATATTGCTCTCAGACACATATCAGCTATCGGTGGTTCTTTGTGATTGTAACAATTATTGTAAGAAATAGAGTGGTTCATACGACACACCAGAGGTTAACAACCTTGCCAATATGGCTAAGAAACACTCATCACATTTACCTATCAATGCTGGCTGGCATTTTGTAATTGGCAATAATGGCTAAAACCTTCAGCAGCAGCAACTCTGGAAAAGAGAGAGGTATTAAAAAAAAGGTGAGATCACTTGGTCTGACTGTAGATGCTGATCACAGTTTGTCTTCACATAGAGAAGTCCATATCGAGAGGCCGTATGACCCAATACTGTTTCCAACTAACTAATCATAAACTCAACGCACGTCACACACATTTTCTGGAAAGGGAGCATAAACCTAGAGGACATTGACTCCATAGTGCTTCTTACATCAATCAAATGTATTTTATAAAGCCCTTTTTACATCAGCAGTTGTCACAGAGTGCTATACAGATATCCAGCCTAAAACCCCAAAGAGCAACCATTACTTTATAGCAGTATATCCAAACAGCTGCTCATTCAAAAAGGAACTAGACCAATAACAGGAAGGGACTCAAGAGTCAACTCTTGGTAAGCTAAAAGACTGTAGAGCTTGGCTGAGAATGAAAGGTTTATTTTTATTAAATTTTTGTATACTTTTTATTTAGTTTTGTCATTTTTCCGAGGGGGGGTTACACAACTGCCTGCTACCAGTTATCTTCTCTGATTGATTGAGAGATTAAAGGGGCTATCATTGTTAGGTAACATAATAGATGGAAAGCACTGAATATTTAAATTCATGCACTTCAAAATAAATTTTGCAACATTGCCCCAGAAGCATTTACCTGCAGGGCACTCCGACATCATATGAAGGAATGGGAGTAGTTGGGAGTTGGGGCCAATTTCATCATAAAACGTTTCCTTGGTGTTAAATACATTCTGTGAACAAACTTAAAATGTATATGTTTTTGGTTCGGATTACGGGATGCCAAGGTCATATTTTTCCATATTCTGTTCCAGTTAAAGAGTGGTTCAGATTTAATTAGATCTGTGGACCATCGTTTTTTAATGGCTAGCTCAGAATGAGCTTTTCAAACGTTGTTTATATATTATAGAGATCAGTCCTTTAGGAAGCCCGGATCAATTATTTATAAATCCCATCATTAGATGTTTTGGTAGTTGGGTTTACTAAGGGACTACATAGGTCAGCTATTCTGGCCTAAGTTGTAAATATAGAAAAAGGAGTTGCCTGGTAATGTGTATATCTTTCAAGTTCAAAGTTCTCAAACCATTACTGTCCATGATATCAGCAAGGGTATGGATCCCACATGTGGACCATTGGGGGGGATGCAAAAGGCTGCCCTCCAGATCGCAAAGTATTATTGTGAAATATTGGAGTATGGGCATGCCATTTGGATTCCCAGTTACATTGTTTTTAAATTTTGTGCCAAATAGAAATTGTGTGAGCAATAATAGGACCAAAGCGTAGTTTACATTGTTTAAGAGATATATCAGTGAAGACCACCTCTTCCAGGGCCATAGGAGACACCATATTTCTCTCTCTCTACTCAGCTAGGGGGGTAGAAGAATCATGTCTAAACCAATTTAAGATGAGCGAAATGCTAAAGTCTGGAAATACAATTTAAAGTTTGGTACAAATAGTCCTCCTCCGTCTTTCCCTCTCTGTAAATGTATTCATTTTATCCGGGATTGTTTATATTGCCATATACATTTTGGAACCTCACTATGAATTTTATCCAAATAGCCAGAAGCATTGAACTACAGAAACTCAGCCGTGGCAATATATTCATTTTGACAATAGATATTCTCCTGGTTAAAGCAACTGGGATATAATTCCACCTACTGAGGTCAGATTGAATAGATCAGTGGTTTTGAGAGAAATTGGTGTTATTTCCTTCGATTGACGAATTGCGTGGGCCAGAGGTTCCATGGATAATAAGAATAGCAGAGGTGAAATTGGATCGCCTCGTCTGCTACTTCTAGTGATTCTGAACAGAGCAGAGCAGATATTGCCTGTTATAACTATGGCTGAGGGATTGGCATATAGTATTTTAATAGTATTAATGAAATTGGAGCCAATTCCTATATGTTCCAAGACAGACCAGAGATATGACCATTCTAGTCTATCAAAAGCTTTTTCTGCATTGAGAGATAATAAAGGCCAAGGAGCTGTTGTTTTGATGAAGCATCTAAGATATGTAATAGTCGACGGCAGTTATCCAAGGATAAACGCTTTTTAACAAACCGCTTTGGTCCGTGTGGATCAATTTGGGTAAGTAACTCTTGAGACGATAACATTTTGGAAAAAAAGTTTAATATCTGTGTTTATCAAAGATAGAACACAATGGCATCCTTACTTTTTTTAATAAAAGCAAAATTAGAATTAAATGTAATTTCATAAACATGTTCCATTAAAGGCCTTGTGCTTTGTGGGAAAGAGACGAAAACAAAGCAATTACACAATGAAATGAGAGAACATACCACTGCCTTTAATACCGTAGGGTAACGCTAGAGTGGACTGATGCTGTCGCCAGAAGAAATCCTCCAGTTTGAAGAAGAGCTGTGTTTGTCTGCTAATGCTGTATTAAAAACAGGGGAGAAAATATTTCACATTACAACCCAGAAATACAAGGATATACTGTACAGTTCCTACTAAATATTCTATACTGCCAATGGCATGGAGATATACATTATACACTGTTGACCTGGCAGTTTTAGTTTCAGTCATTAAACTGAAATGACCTTAATGGCCGTAATTCCTTCTCATTGTTCAGTGTAATCAACCCCCATGTCTTTTAGGCAGAGAGTGACATTGTTATTGCCTAGGAGGCCTCCCAGTGTCTCTGATAATTAAGCATCTGATTTGCATGTGGAAAATGACCTGACCTTCTCATCACTGCCACGCACATGAATCACAATCAGTTGGCAAAAAGTATTGACCTTGAGAAAATGGAGCGTTGTTAATCTCTATATTTTACAAGTCCTGTCTGAGCTGAGCTGGGGAGGCCAACTGAACTGTATGGTCTAGTGGTCAGAGAAACAAATTGCTGACCCCAAAGTTGATGGACCAGGAGGACACAGATGGGGCATATCACTGTTGTACCCTTGAGCAGGGCACACAAACAGAACAGCTCCAGTACATACCCAGTTGAATAAACTGATAATAGCACAGAGTAAAAATGAATGGAGGACCATTCAAGTATCCTGGACAAAGGTCCAGAGGAATACATTTGTCCATTGTCCTCCTGAAAAACATGTAATTGTGTGAATCGAAAGCTCCTTTAAAAACAGACTTGCTCTTAGGGGTCTGTTTTCAATGATGATCCATCAACAGTTTCAACTTGAACGATTGTTACAGAAAATGTAGTTTAATGAGTCTCTGGGTAGAAAATTATTTCCTTTTGTTGTTCTTACTTACCCAAAAAATCTGAATTTTACTGGTGACTGGGTGAAAACAGCCCCCAAATCACCAAAGAAGCTGGCACCTCGCATTCCAGTAAAAGCATTGGCATCAACCCCACCCTCCTTGTTTCAGACACTCCATTACTCACTTAAAATTGAGGCTCTCCCACTTCTTCTGCTTTAGCCAGCCGCCGCACAGTGACTTGCTCGGAGTTGGAGGAGACTTGCTGGTGCCGCCATAGCTGAAAGACAAGCACACGAATCACCACAGTTGGAACAGAAACTGCATACTTTTTAAAACACTCACCATGCCCAGTGACTTTAATTTAGAAAATACAAAAATGCCAAGTGTGGGTATCTATTTAAGGCCTAAATTGACTGCCTCTTAAAGCTGTGGGTAGATCAGATGCTAGACTAGGTGAATGGAGTGGGTTGTCAACATGTTGTGATTTAGCAGCAGCCTTATTTCAAGGTTTCTCTTTCCTTCAGCAAAGCATAGATGAGTATCTGTGTGATTGCTCTACCTGCCACTACACAGAGAGGGAGCTTCCAGGCAGTAGACCAGGGCTGAGGGCCGAGCAGCCTTACCTCTGGAGGAAGACGTGGGAGCAGTAGTAGGAGATGAAGAACAGAACAACAGCGATCAGTCTATAGCACCATGCTGGAGAGGGAGAGAGAGAACAACCACATGCAATAGATTAGAAACCAACATCATGCTTTTCTTGTATAGCCTGTGGTCAAATCCTAGTCTATGACATTGCAAATTGCTGCTAATTATGGCATGAGATTGCATGAGATCCAATCTGCAGGCAGGCAGGACTGCAGGCAGATTTTCACTTCCTACAGTACAGTATCACTAACTTAACTGGAGTGGAAAGGAGGAGTGCTATTAATTGAGCCGTAAAGAAAAAACCAACAGCAGCCCCTAGAACTTTCAGTTCCCATATCAAACAACTCTGCCGAACAAAAGTCCCCTCTACCTCCACACTAGCAACATGTCAATGACCACAACCATTCTCTAGTCTGGTAAATAAACACTCCCCAGCCCAGATAGTGCCCTACATATATAGGAGATTGGGAGGGATGGAGGGCAGTCCTCCAGCTCAAAGACCTACTTCCCACACGTTTGTTCCAGGAATACAAATGGCTGCTTATACGGTAAAGGCAAACATATAGTGCCAAACTAAACCCAGTCTCCATCAAGCTGAATCTGCTTTCTGGGACTCCCATTAACTGAGCCAGAGAAACCTTGAAATGGCTTTTCATTTTCAGCACAGCAGCTATAGTCAAACTGAAATGAGCTGATGTAAATGGCAAAAGCAAGCACCCGGCTCTGAAGGCAAGGCCGGTGTTTTCTGTCAAATAAGAGAAAATGAGAAGATCAAGGCAGCGCCAAGATGTGTGTTTCTGTATGATCATCATAACACATCCAGGAACATCTGGATTATACATGACATGCTTGGAATGTGTCTTATAGTATGTACAACGGCTGAATTAATAATGTATAGGACAAAGCACAGTATGTGAGAGCTATAACACAAGGATGTTATTGTGTAACACTACATCCACCAAAAGCTTGAGTGAATTGAAAGAATGAAACTGTACCAGGCTAGAGTTGTACAAATACTGTAAACCTTAGATAAAAAGAAAAGTAAAGAAAATAAAACAGAAGAAAACTAATTTAATGTACAACTGCCACTAATGAAGAGACAGGGGTTAAATGTCTGATAAAAGTATTTTATGTACAGGTCTATTAACCACCCACTGTAAAGAAGCAGCGGGGAGCTTACTTTTAGCAGTCTTTAGGGACATCTTCACATGCTCCGTCGCCCTCTCATCTCGGTACTGCGCATGATGTTACCCTGAGGGGGAAGGAGGAGGAAGAACAACATATTAGCACCTCTAACATCTGGCTCAATTGGACAGGAGTGGCGCGAGCCAATTAAAAGAACCAAGCGCCTTAAACGGCACCATAAATGACATCTTTCTCCTCCCGGATGATAAATGAGAAGCTGGGAGTGAGATGAAACACCAAGGCAACACATAGACTCTGGATCCCTGACTGATGGTAATCATTGCAGTGTTTCTCTGGCTCTGTGCTCATTGTGAAAAAAGTGGAATGTGTCCAGTGACCATCCACCAGACAGCATGGCAGAGAGGCATAAATAGATAGAGAGAGACAGAGAGAGAGGCATAGAGAGAGGCAGAGAGAGAGAGCGAGAGAGAGAGGCATAGAGAGAGAGGCATAGAGAGAGAGAGGCAGACAGAGAGAGGCATAGAGAGAGAGAGGCATAGACAGAGAGAGGCATAGAGAGAGGCATAGACAGAGAGAGAGGCATAGACAGAGAGGCAGGCATAGAGAGAGGCATAGACAGAGAGAGGCATAGACAGAGAGAGGCATAGACAGAGAGTGAGAGAGAGAGAGAGAGAGAGAGAGAGAGAGAGGCATAGAGAAAGAGAGAGAGAGGCATAGAGAAAGAGAGAGAGGCATAGAGAAAGAGAGAGAGGCATAGAGAAAGAGAGAGAGAGAGAGAGAGAGAGAGAGGAGAGAGAGAGAGAGAGAGGCATAGAGAGCGAGACAGAGAGAGAGCGAGACAGAGAGAGAGCGAGACAGAGAGTGAGGGAGACAGAAATACACTAAGGAAACAATACAGAAATACACTACGGAAAAGGAAGGAACAGCATGTCAGAAATCTGCTGTAATTGAAGAATCCATAGACTAACAACTTCTGGGAAAATTGGAAAACACTAAACAAACAACACGAAGAGCTATCTATCCAAAACTGAGATGTATGGGTAAACCACTTCTCCAATCTTTTTGGCCCTATAACAAAGAACAAACAGCAAAAAAATATACATGATCAAATGCAAATCTTAGAATCAACTATTAAAGACTACCAGAACCCACTGGATTCTCCAATTACATTGAATGAACTACAGGACAAAATACAAACCCTCCAACCCAAAAAGGCCTGTGGTGTTGATGGTATCCTCAATGAAATGATAAAATATACAGACCACAAATTCCAATTGGCTATCATTAAACTCTTTAACATCATCCTTAGCTCTGGCATCTTCCCCAATATTTGGAACCAAGGACTGATCACCCCAATCCACAAAAGTGGAGACAAATTTGACCCCAATAACTACTGTGGGTGTTACTATCGTCGGATACAGAGGACCAAGGCGCAGCGTTGAAGGCGAACATACTTTTATTATTTAGAATGAACACACGAACAAAAACAACAAACGATAACGTGACGTCCTCGGTTCTAACACAAACCTATACTGGAACAAGATCCCACATAAAACAATGCCAAACGGCTACCTAAGTATGGCTCCCAATCAGAGACAACGAGCTACAGCCCTCTCCGATTGGGAGCCACCCTGGCCAACATAGAAATACAAAACTAGAACATACAAAGAAAACTCACACCCTGGCTCAACATACAAGCGTCCCCAGAGCCAGGGCGTGACAGTACCCCCCCCCCAAAGGCGCGGACTCCGACCGCGCCAACCAAACACCACAGGGGAGGGACCGGGTGGGCACTCCGCCTTGGCGGCGGATCCGGCTCCGGGCATGATCCCCAACTCCCTCTCTAACTCCCCAAAGTACCCCTGGTCCGGTCTGGCCCTGCTGGCCGGAGCTGGACTGAACACTGGTGGAGCGGATTGCTCTAGCTCCTGCGTGGAGCAGCTGACCGGTGCCTGGAACAGGCACGGGCTGTGCCGGACTGACGACGCACACCACTGGCTTGGTGTGGGGAGCAGGAACGGGCCGGACCGGGCTGACGAAGCGCACCACTGGCTTGGTGCGGGGAGCAGGAACGGGCCGGACCGGGCTGACGAAGCGCACCACTGACTTGGTGCGGGGAGCAGGAACGGGCCGGACCGGGCTGACGACGCGCACCACTGGCTTGGTGCGGGGAGCAGGTAGGGGCCGGACCGGGCTGACGAAGCGCACCACTGACTTGGTGCGGGGAGCAGGAACGGGCCGGACCGGGCTGAAGTTGCCTTGATGACAACTTTGCACACACTTGGCATTCTCTCAACCAGCTTCACCTGGAATGCTTATCCAACAGTCTTGAAGGAGTTCCCACATATACTGAGCATTTGTTGGCTGCTTTTCCTTATCTCTGCGGTCCGACTCATCCCAAACCATCTCAACTGGGTTGAGGTTGGGGGATTGTGGAGGCCAGGTCATCTGATGCAGCACTCCATCACTCTCCTTCTTGGTCAAATAGCCCTTACACAGCCTGGAGGTGTGTTGGGTCATTGTGCTGTTGAAAAACAAATGATAGTCCCACTAAGCCCAAACCAGATGGGATGGCGTATCACTACAGAATGCTGTAGTAGCCATGCTGGTTAAGTGTGCCTTGAATTCTAAATAAATCACAGACAGTGTCACCAGCAAAGCACCCCCACACCATAACACCTCCTCCTCCATGCTTTACGGTGGGAAATACATATGCGGAGATCATCCGTTCACCCACACCGCATCTCACAAAGCCACGGCGGTTGGAACCAAAAATCTCAAATTTGGACTCCAGACCAAAGGACAAATTTCCACCGGTCTAATGTCCATTGCTTGTTGTTCTTGGCCCAAGCAAGCCTCTTCTTATTATTGGTGTCCTTTAGTAGGGGTTTCTTTGCAGCAATTCGACCATGAAGGCCTGATTCACATAGTCTCCTCTGATCAGTTGATGTTGTGATGTGTCTGTTACTTGAACTCTGTGAAGCATTTATTTGGGCTGTAATTTCTGAGGCTGGTAACTCTAATGAACTTATCCTCTGCAGCAGAGGTAACTCCGGGTCTTCCATTCCTGTGGCGGTCCTCATGAGAGCAAATTTCATCATAACACTTGATGGTTTTTGCGACTGTACTTGAAGAAACTTTCAAAGTTCTTGAAATGTTCCGTATTGACTGACCTTCATGTCTTAAAGTAACGATGGACTGTTGTTTCTCTTTGCTTATTTTAGCTGTTCTTGACATAATATGGACTTGATCTTTTACCAAATAGGGCTATCTTCTGTATACCCCCCCCCCCCCCCCCCCACCTTGTAAAAACACAATTGATTGGCTCAAACGCATTAAGAAGTAAATAAATTCCACAAATTCACAAACTAACTAGTCTACTGTACAGAGCAACCCTGCATCCCTAGGCTAAGTATCAGTCTGGTCTGACACTGGTGTTGAACAGTATAGTGCTTAGCCTACTTTTTCTGTGTTATTAGAATGTTATAACAAACCTTCCTCCAAACTGCTGCACCAACCCTCTTGAAATTCTTTAAAAGTAGCCTATGTTTTCAACAACGTTATCTTTACAGTAAAATATCATTTGGGCTACATTTCTAAAGTAAATCTAGTCTGCACAAACATGATGCACCGATGTTATGACAAACCACATGCGTTAACCATTTCCGATATTGGTTTGTTGGTTCCAAAATCAAGAACCAAGCCTCAAATTGAATTATACAGAGCAATGTTATGCATACCTATAAATAGTTCAAAACTTGGATATCTTATCATAATGGCTGTAGAAAGAGGAAACCTAATCTAGATAAGGAGACAGGCCTATGCCTATTATGAGATAACACATTAGTCAATGCTTCCACTGTTGCCAAGAACCCCTTGTGATTGCCAGTCTATTGAGACAATTGGCATGGCTACTTGTATTGTATTCCTTTCTTTGATAACAGCCATCCTACACCAAATGAGTAGTATGTTGAATGAAGTATGCAGCGTTCAGTGGCATAGCCAAACATTTTTTGGTGGGTGGGCTTGTAGAAATTTGGGTGGGCCCCCCAAAAATATATAAGCATTTTTTATTTGTGAACGCAGCTAACTTCCTGCAATTTTACACATTTTGCCATGGGGCAAAGAGAAAAATGTGCAGTTCATGCTATTCTACACATTTTGCCATGAATGAGGCTGAGAGAAATTGTTGCATTTTTAAAGCTAAAATATGTGTGTTGACTGTGATAAAGGCACTGGGTTATGAGCTATCTTGTTTGCTAAATGAACAAATTAAATAGGCAGTGGCATGGTGCATATAGCCATAGAAGCACAGTGACATACAGTATGCCTCAATGCAGTCATTTTCCCGGTTAATTGGGGGTGTGACTTTCAGTTAGCTATTTTTGGCAACCCATTCCGTGAGAGTGAATGTCATTCCAGTTAATCTGTTCTGTTATATTTAACTCTTCGGAGTCTGGAGCTTTTTTGGCCGTTTTTGGGTACCTTCAATTTTGCCCTGATATACTACATAAAGAAATGTTTACCAGACCAATGTTGGGTATCTTTTTTTTCAGCACAACCTCACCTATATGATCTGTTAGTAAGTTTTTCACTTTGACATACTATTTCAACACACTGGACCCAAACACACACAGAAAACACAAAGTCCGTTTAGAAAAAAGATGGTTTTTTTATTGTAAAACCCTCAAACATGGTGAACCAAGCATTTAAAAAGCTTCAAATTGAACCACAAGGTGCAAATATGAACATATAAAAGTATTTTGGTGATATATACAAGCAATAAATAACTATTTACAATATAAAGTAGGTATAACCACTGGCGTTTTTCTTCTATTCTAACCCTAAACCTTTTTGTGCCACTCCTCAAAACAGTTTCTGTCCAAAATGAAAAAAAAAGCTTCAAATTGAACCACAAAGTGCAAATATGAACATATAAAAGTATTCTTGAGATATATACAAGCAATACACAACTATTTACAAAAAAAGTAGGTATAGCCACTGGCCTTTACCCTATTTGTGCCACTCTTCAAAACAGTTCCTGTCCACAATGACACAGAGAGCCACATCACAGGCCTTGCACTTCCATGGTGTGACAAACCTCTTCTTGTCAACTTGTTTACAGCGTTGACAAACCCTGCGGCCTGCTGTGGCTTTGTCTTTGGCCTCTGCAACATTGGCAATGGCCACAGGAACATGGCTGGTGCTTTTTTGAAGTGGAACCCCTGTCTGGGTCACTCCGCACAGCTGGGCCACAAGTTCAACGTGAAGTGTGCGCCTCATATTGCTTCACAAAAACGATACTGCTGACAATAAAACTCTTGAAATACTAACAATTGAAATACTAACTCGTGAAAAACTCTCCAAAACTACTCATGAACTGAACTAATTCCTCTCGTTCGTTCTTTCGCAATGGCTAGTTGTCATGGGAATGAATGTTTATATACTCGTGTGCATCCTGAAGAACCGGGTTAGCACAAGCACACGTTTTTTTCCGTTCCTTTTTATCACAAAAGACGACAAAGTTATTATAATAAATGCAAAGCGCTCATAAAAGAGCGCATATTTTGACGCACTTTTTTCATGGAATTGAAATTATCATAACTTTGGTTTTAGTTGGTGTATTTACATGAAACAAACACTCAAAACGTAGCCTCGGGTCTCCATTTCTGCATGAAATCGACGGCAGCCCTCTGCATCACTTGGTTTGGATGCTGCGCGGTCCTAAAGCCGGCCCGCGATTTGAACGCGCCGAAGCGTTCGCCGACTCGGAAGAGTTAATCAAATCTTACTAACCTTGTGCACTGCTTGCTATGAATTCTATCTAATATGTGTTTGCATGTTTAGGTAAAAAGACTAATATCCCGTTTGGAACACTGACAAGTAAAGTAAACATTTTGTTGCTCAATCTGATTGGGCCACCCAGGCCCACCCATGCCTACGCCCCTGGCATGGACTCGTTTCTGAGTCAACTCCCCAATGCAACCTTTGAACATTGACTTAGGCCGTGTTTAAACAGGCAGCCCAATTCTGATCTTTTTTATTCACTAATTGAGCAAAAGATCAGAATTGGGCTGCCTGTGTAAACGCAGCCATAGTGTACTGTTCAGAGGACTGATGTGATGTGAGCTTGTTTAATCCAGCTGTGAGGATCAGAATGGCAGATAGCCAGACGGGCAGAGGGCAACTCTTCCAATAAAGACATCCCACCGGCACTTAAGAAAACAACACAATGCCCTCAGGTTGCTGGATGTCTCTCAATGTTCATCTGAGAAAACAAAATCTATTCAAGTTAACATTGGTCATCTCATCATACACTAACTATGCTCTTCTTTTTATAACGAGTCATACCTTTCAATACTAGGACCAGTGGGCTGACCTACAAGAAACTGAACATGCACTGTGTATTTCTGTATAAGACTATAGGCATATAAATTGATCAGTGTTTTTTTATAACGCTTAGGCCTAATCCAAGAATGCTGGGGACACTAAAGTCATTAATAGAACAAAAGACTGTCAGCACCCTTACAATTAAAGTAAGTAAAAATATAGCCTAACAGTTTATTGCATTTTCTTTGTTGTGTGGAGCTTCACCAGTTTGCTATATTCTTTCACAATCAAAACATAATGATTTAGCTGAATATAACACAATGGACATTGCATGTTGCTCTACATGCATGACAGTTTGCAGACAGTCATAACTGCCAAGGCCAAACTCATTGCTCTCCATTTCAGGGGCCAGATTTTATTTCAGCAGGGGGCAACTCACGACATGTCCCTGCTGACAGACAGACAGCATGTGGGGAATCAAATTCAGAATAGAAGCTCTCAAGAATCTGTTAACACACTGCTTAGTGAGATTACAGGGAGGTGAAAATGAAAGGATAACATCTTCCACCATCCCTGACTGCATTTTCAATGTTACAACTTCCACAACCATTCTGCAAACTTTCCTAGAACAATTGTATATCCATCAAACTGCCTTGTTGCTCTTGTTTTTCACTTCACATTTTTGGAAAGTACTTCTAACTAAATATTGTTTTGTTCATCATTTATAAAAAATCATGACCAAGTTGAGTGTGCCCTGTTTCTGCCTCAATTGATGTGCTGTAATTTGGCAACAGCATAACATTGACAAAGTGGTTATTAGCTACAAAGTATCAATCCTATGCTAAACAAACCCATTTGCAAACAGTTAATTAATGTTTTCAGAAACTTTTAAAGAAATTATAACATTTTAGTTGCCTCTATGCGATTGCTGGGCCTGCAACTGCTATTTCCTGAATGATTAAAATTAGCCAGCTAGCTCACAGTATTTGGAAGCTGTGGTTGCTAGAAAAAAAGATTGAAAAAGCAAATGTGAATTCACTTACCAGCAATGTAGTTAACAAATTTGGCAATCCGAAGCACAAGCAGAATAGCATAGGCATGTAAACTAACGTTCGCAATGTTAAACTCTATCTTTGAGATGCAAGAAATAGGCGTTTTAATGCGCCGAGTGGGAGGCGCCGTGGTATCCCTTTCATTGATTAGGCCTACACGATTTGAAAACATAGACACATACCACATTTAAGAAGCAAATTAATAATTTGTTGGCTATAATCTAACGGGTTGCTAACTCCGTAGGCAGAGTTAACGGTCCATTGGAATGTAGTCAGTTCAACGCCTACCCTTTTTCAAAATATGTATTTTTGACGCATGCGCAGCGTATGCAGTTCTTGAGATATTGACCGTCAGAAAATGAATAATCAATTGATTGATTGAATGCTGATATGTATGCTGTCTGTATTTAAAGAAGTTATGAAGTAAGTACAACTAAATGTTTTGAACTACAAACAGTTTCACACATTCTCAAGTCATCATATTTTATAATAACCTATTTAATATTTATTCAACAAAAAAAAATATATATATTAGTGTGAATAGAAAATGGCTGTGGCCAATACTATTACTGGCAACACCCACAGTTGACAGCATAGGATTTGTTTTGTCTGTTAGAACTAGTGGGCTGCTTTTGCGTCCTTGAGCCTGAGTGAGTAGGCTGATTCCCAAAGGGAAAAAATACCCTGTACTTTGTCATTTGTGGATGAGACCCAAGAGCAGGTGGAGCTCTTGAACAATATGCCAACATAGTTGAGTGAAGTGAGACAATTGTAGAGCTAGGTCACGTTGGTATAGCCTGCTGTGTGCACACAGGATTTTTATTTGAAAGGGGAAAATAGATACTCAAGAGGAATATCTCTTTCATATGTAAATGTTACCTCAACTTCAGAATAATTAAAATAAATACAAATATTTTACCTTTATTAAACTAGGCAAGTCAGTTAAGAACAAAATCTTATTTACAATGACGGCCTACCAAAAGGCAAAAGGCCTCCTGCGGGGACGGGGGCTGGGATTAAAAATAAAAATATAGGACAAAACACACATCAGGACAAGAGACCTAAGACAGACAACAACACAGCGTGATAGCAACACCACATGACAACAACATGGTAGCAGCACAACATGGCAGCAGCACAACATGATAGCAGCACAAAACATGGTACAAACAATATTGGGCACTGACAACAGCACAAAGGCAAGAAGGTAGAGACAACAATACATCACGCGAAGCATCCACAACTGTCAGTAAGAGTGTCCATGATTGAGTCTTTGAATGAAGAGATGGAGATAAAACTGTTAATGTATCCATACCTTCTCGCATTGTATCAAGTTGTAAAGTTATTATACTGTAGATGTCTAATGTAACTAAATGGATCCACCCCTGTCCTAAATTTACTGGACATTGAAATTCTTATTCCTGACATTAGATTACAAACTTTGAAAGCCAATAACAAAATGGTGAGCAAATGTTTGCTTATTCTTTGACCAAGGGCAGCACCAGAGCCCTGTAAAAAACAGACAGGAGAACTGCTTGGTTGTAACTGCGTGGGAGTAGTCCGTTTTCCATTTCAGTTTTCACATCTCATTTGAAGTGCCAGTAATCTACATCTTGCAGTCTGATCTGTGTGCGTCTTTAGGTGCTTGGCTGTGGATCATCCCTTGAAATGGGGAGAACGTCATTCTAAACAGTTCTTTACTTGGGTAGACCAGATTCCTGGGGCTGTTTGTATAAAGTGTCTCAGAGTAGGAGTGCTGATTTAGGATAAATCTTGCCTTTTAGACCACAATGAACAAGATTGAATGGACAGGCGCGACCTGATCCTAGATCAGCATTCCTAGTCAGACGCTTGATACATAAAGCCCCACGTTTCAAAGTATCAGAAGTACTTGATCATCCATTCACTGATCACCCTCACAACTAAAGTCTCATCCATTAGAGGTAAACTGTTTGCTTTGGTTGTGTGGAGGGAGAGAGCCTGAGTTCAAAAAGTACAGGTTACCACCATCTAAACCAAAGCTCTGAGTGCTTTTCCATGCTGTTGGTGGTCCCAATCAAACCAGCTAGCCATCCTCTGGCCCTAGCTGCTGTAGTTTCTCTGCTTGGTTCATGTGGCAGGCTTCAAGATGCTGACACACAGCTTGCCTCTTATTTGAGGGGTTTTCCTGTGCTTTTTCATGTCCGACTCTTCTCAAATAAAAATCAAATAAAATCAAATGTTATTGTAGCCCGTACTGTGAAATGCTTACTTACAAGCCGTTAACCAACAATGCAGTTTTAAGAAAAATAAGAGTTAAGAAAATATTTACTAAATAAACTAAAGTAAAAAAAAAAACTAAAAAAAAAAAAAAAAAATTACAATAACGAAGCTATATACAGGGGTACCGGTACCGAGTCAATGTGCGGGGGTACAGGTTAGTCAAGGTAATTGAGGTAATATATACATCTACTTAGGGATAAACTGACTATGCATAGATAATAAACAGCAAGTAGCTGCAGCGTAAAAAAAAGGCTGAGCAGTTGTCATACCAGGCGGTGATGCAACCAGTCAGGATGCTCTCGATGGTGCAGCTGTATAACTTTTTGAGGATCTGAGGACCCATGCTAAATCTTTTCAGTCTCCTGAGGGGGAATAGGCGTTGTTGTGCCCTCTTCACGACTGTCTTGGTGTGTTTGGACCATGATAGTTTGTTGGTGATATGGACACCAAGGAGTTTGTTGGTGATGTGGACACCATGGAACTTGAAGCTCTCAACCTGCTCCACTACAGATCAGGTTTTACTGCTGCACCCTAAAACAAAACAAACACCTCTCCAGGAAGAAACGCATATTCCAAACCATCCAAATGTAATCTCATTGTATTGCATCTAAGAGTATTATTTTCTATTTGAAATCAAACAAACTTTCTTACTAGAACCAATAAGCATTCCTGACTAAGGTAATAGTAATTAGGTCATATCTACTGTGTGCAACTTTACCAACTAAAGGGTATCACGTTTTTCATAATCCCACCTAACAGCCTGATCAAAGGTCATTTGAAATGTCCAACTCCAATATAAGCTTAGCTAAAGCCACGTAAAGTCAAAAATCATCTGCCTCAGAACCCTAATTACAACACTGCAGGGAAGCCAATGGAAAACATGACAAATAATTTTCTCTGGCAAAGGAAAATGTTGATGGTACTTGGGAATAGAAATTAATATGTAAGGCTATAATACAAATTGATCAAGGATGATGCTTCATGTTATGTGCAGTGTCTGTGCTGATGTGTGGTGTGGTTGGTATTGTGACATTTCAATCTGCTGATTATTTTTTGCAAAAAATAAGACTCTCGTATGAACATTAATTCATTGCATACCATTCTCCAGTGATAAAATGTGGAAGACATATACCACCTAGTGGTAGATACTAAGAACAAGTGCCATATTGGCCAACCCTAGTAGGAGCAGTCCTCCATAGGAGGAGGATTTTTCAAATACGGGCCTTTTTGTGTCTCAGGGTTAGATTTTTAAGATAAAATGTTAATTTAGATTTTTTTATTTCACATCCATTAAGTAGAGAATAGAATATAAGTACACTTTTGTTTTCATCTTTCAAAATGTTTTTTTATTTTATTTTCTAAAGCATTTAATGTCTGGTTTTTACTGTTTTGCACTGTTTTCGTCTTGTCTCACACCCATACTTTTGACATCTTCTATGTATTACACTTACAAAAGTCTTGATAATTACAAAATATTGAATGCACCTGTTTAAGAAAAAGAGACAAATAGATGAAAATTATATACATATTAGATATAGATATACATTGGCTCCCGAGTAGCGCAGTGGTCTAAGGCACTGCATCTCAGTGCTTGAGGCGTCACTACAGACCTCCTGGTTCGATTCCAGGCTGTATCACAACCGGCCGTGATTGGGAGTCCCATAGGGCGGCGCACAATTGGTCCAGTGTCATCCAGGTTTGGCCGGTGTAGGCCATCATTGTAAATAAGAATTTGTTCTTAACTGACTTGCCTAGTTAAATAAAGGTTAAATAAAAATAAAGATGTGCATAAGTCATCAGTTGTCAGAGCACCTTACCGATCACTGCACCTGTACACAGCCCATCTGAAATTAGCCCACCCAACTACCTCATCCCTATATTGTTATTTATTTTGCTCTTTTGCACCCCAGTATCTCTATTTGCACATAATCTCTTGCACATCTAGCATTCCAGTGTTAATACTATTGTAATTATTTTGCACTATAGCCTATTTATTGCCTTACCTCCATAACTTGCTACATTTGCACCACTGTATATATATTTTCTGTTGTATTTTTGACTTTATGTTTTTTTTTACCCCATATGTAACTCTGTGTTGTTTTTATCGCACTGCTTTGCTTTATCTTGGCCAGGTCGCAGTTGTAAATGAGAACTTGTTCTCAACTGGCTTACCTGGTTAAATAAAGGTGAAATTAAAAATTAAAAATTACACAAAATACAGTCATCTCTAAGGATTATGTCATTACCTCCATGACAAGCAAATTACATGATAATAACCTTTTTTCTAAAGTTTGTGTACTTGGTTACCATGGATATGTATAGTGACAGTGGAGCACATGGATGTCATGGAGGGGAATTCACATTTTGATGCCAGGAAATTATAGAAAAATAAAGGTAAATATGACTTGACAAGATAATGTATTGTACGTCATTACCAAATCAAATCAAATCAAATTGTATTTGCCACATGCGCCGAATACAACAGGTGTAGACATTACCGTGAAATGCTTACTTACAGCCCTTAACCAACAATGCATTTATTTTTTTATAAAAAAGTAAAATAAAACAACAACAACAACAAAAAAGGGTTGAGAAAGCAGAAGTAGTAAAATAAAATAACAGTAGGGAGGCTATATACAGGGGGGTACCGGTGCAGAGTCAATGTGCAGGGGCACCGGCTAGTTGAGGTAGTTGAGGTAATATGTACATGTGGGTAGAGTTAAAGTGACTATGCATAAATAATTAACAGAGTAGCAGCAGCGTAAAAATATGGGGTGGGGGTGGGGGTGGGGGGGCAGTGCAAATAGTCCGGGTAGCCATGATTAGCTGTTCAGGAGTCTTATGGCTTGGGGGTAGAAGCTGTTGAGAAGCCTTTTGGACCTAGACTTGGCGCTCTGGTAACGCTTGCCGTGCGGTAGCAGAGAGAACAGTCTATGACTAGGGTGGCTGGAGTCTTTGACAATTTTGAGGGCCTTCCTCTGACACCGCCTGGTATAGAGGTCCTGGATGGCAGGAAGCTTGGCCCCAGTGATGTACTGGGCCGTACTCACTACCCTC